AGTAATTCAAATATGTTAAAATATCACCCATTGAATTTATTGTTTAAAAGATATCAATCTCGAAACTTTTGGATATCAAATTTAATACTAGTCTTTTTTGGGGAGAGAGACTAGTGCATGTTTAATTGACACACGGTTTCGTCTTTGGCGAGCCACATTGGAGGTCCGCAAAACTGCATATCAGCGATGGAGCCGCGTCAAACTCGGGTGTGGAGGTGATCTGTCATTTTTTCTTTTGGCGGCTGCTATGGTGCCAGAGGCAGGTGAAAGGCGTTGGTGTCAAGCTCAAAGGTTTCTTTAGTCTTGTTCGTAGTTTTACTTCTTGGCTAGCGTTCCTTTGTTCATTGGCCAACATTCTATTTGTTCAGTTTTGTCAGGTCGGTATGTACATAGCTTGTATAATGCTCCTTATGAAATAAATGAGACACGTATTATCATGAAACAAGAGAGACTCTTGCAAAAAAAGTGTAAAAGAGACGCCCACCGCCTGCGCATGACGCATCCACGGTCTGAGGGTCTTTAGGGCATGTACAATAGTGCTATCTTAGGAGTGCCACGTGAGATAGATGATGAGGTGGAGGAGAGAGAATTCGTAAGAAAAGGCTTGTCTTCTCTTATTTAAGAAGACAAAAGGTGATCTCTTAGCACAATATGTCTCACCATATTTTTAGGAATTGCTAGTTATTTAAGATAAGGCTAAGAGATGACCCATTGTAGACAAATTTTTTTGTCATCTCTAAATCACATGCAAAACTTAAGATAAGACTATCTTATCGACCATTGTACATGCCCTTAAGAACCAAGTTGGCGCGATGTGCTCCTCCGCCACCATGAGATCCCCGCACCACTCTGCTCCGGCATAGCACGAGAAAGTCCTCGGGGGTGGTATGCACGAATCGACATGTCGTAAGGGCCAATCGTGAACTCCAAGTGCAGAGCAGCGCTGCCGAAGCCAGGTCCATCGATGGGCGCGTGCCGGTGATGGTCACCACGACGGCGCCCGAAAGCACGTCCTCAAGCAGCGCGATGCCCGTGGAAGACTCCAGGAAGCAGTGCTCCACCAATTCCTACACAGCCGGTGCCATCACTAAGACGCGGCCACCCACCGGCACCGAGAAAGCCAGCCCCGAGACGCTCCCCACCGAGGAGGCCTCAGGGACCGCGGCAATACCGCCCATGGCCTGGCAAGACGTACCACCCCAGCAGGCGGCGGGCCGGGCGACGGTGCTGGCAGCATCGAGGGTGAGGCAGCTCGAGGGGGGGAGCGGGCGGGGCCACTCAAGCCCGCAGCGGCTAGTCACACGGCGACGGGCTGCGCCGCCGAGTACATTCCTGCGCGACATGGCCGAAGCCGTTGCAACAGACACACCGAGTGTCACTCGTGCACTCCGTCGAGATGTTTCCGTCATCTCCACAATTGTAGCAGCAGCCGTTGAGCACTGCCGGGATGCGAGAGTCTGGTGGGGGTGCGCGGTGGGGACTGGGGAGGATGCCGTGGCGGCGAATAGCACTACTTGCGCGCAAGTCGCGTCCCGCACCTACTGGACTTGGATCGGAATCGACATGCGGCCCAGTCCAGGAAAGTGCTGGTTTCGAAGGAAGCTGAACAAGAGGAGGACTCGCAGTGCTTGGTTCCCTTTCCTTTTTCTTAGCAGAGAAGAGACTTGAACAGAATTGGACGGCTGCGAGCACCCACGGGACGCTGCGGCGGGCCGCCCGCGCTTCTGCACGCGACAACTACGGCGGCGAGCTCGGATGCCGGCCCGCACACGACCGCAACGGCGGCCAGCCCCGCGCTCCCGCACGCGACGACGACCGGCCAGCGCGACCAGCACGTGCTCGCGGCTCGACGGCTGCGCGAGCACCCTCGCGGCCGCCGTCTCACGCCTGCTCCGGCGCTGCCTCCGTCATCCTCGACCCGGCAGCCTCTAGGTGGGCGACATGGACGACACAAGTGCTCGCCGTGGGGCACGAAGACGAGGTGTTCGTTGAAATGGGCAAAGGGAATATAGGAGGAGGAAGAAGAAGATAGATACTGACGTGTGGGGCCCAGTTGTCATAACGGTCAACTTAACAGTCAAAATAAACGGCGTTAACTTTCCTGCCACGTCAGCCCTGACGGGTGGCCCCTACTTGTCATAAACATGTTTAAATCTTCTAAATTGGTCATTTTTTAAAATTGGTAGTTTTTTGTCACGGATTAATAAAAAAGTGGTAGTTTTTGACACAAATTTGTAAAGTGATAGTTTTTAGGTACGTGAAATGTGGTAGCTTTTGTTTAAATACTCGCATGCATGCATGTATTGCTAGGTTACCATATTAAAACCGTGGCCACGGAAAGCTAATCTAGGTCCTAAATTTATTATAGTTGTGGGGATATAAAAGCTAATCGTCGCCGTCTGGTAAGTGCTTCTCCTCGTACTTTTTTTTGTCTCTGCTGTTTCGCCCTCCCAATCGACTGCCCTCCTTGTGCCCTTCCGGGTTCTGCCCTCCGGTCCTCATCGGTAAACTCGAAGTCGGCGTCCTGCCGTATCAACTCCGCCGATCCCCATAGTCTTTCCGCCCGCCGCCGCCAGGTCGGGTTAGGCCCTTCACCGTCTTAGATCCCCCTCTTCTCACATTCGCTTTTCCTCGTCTCCGCCCCCGCGAGGTCGGATTAGGCAGGCCCATCGACGTCTCCTTTGGCATATCTTATTAGTCGCCAACAGAACGATTTATGTTGTCTTTTTATTAAGCAAACTACGCTTGGGGGTTAGCCACCTCCACCTGAATTCATTCGTTTCTATTAAATGAAATTTATTTATTTTATCTATTATTATGCAGGAGATGATGATATCCAAAATGCATGATATGCTTTTGCCAGTGTTCTCTCTGTTCAAGTTTCGTTTGGATGCTCCACGTATCCACAGTATGTTCCTACTCATTTTGATGGGTCCAATTGTGCGGAGCTTGTTATTATGCATCTGTCCTTTTTTAGTACTATTCTAGACCAGATTTTATCTTCAGGATACTATGTCTGGAACAAAAACGTGGTGACTAAAAATTATTAGATTGACCTCTTGTGCACTCCATAATGATCTTTTAGCATTGATTTTTTTTGGTAGGCTCCTCACCGCTGTCTTGTCCACCTCATTGTGGAATGTCGTAGTAATTATCAAAAGTTTGCACGGCAAGTAGCATATGAAGTATCAATGCTAAAGCAGATTTCAATATTTTATCAACAGTTACGTGGCATGGAAATAGTTTCTTGTTGACTTCTTTCCTTTGATTACTATTCATTGTGTATAGTTAAGTGGCATGGAACTGAAACCATACTTTGTTGTTGACTTGTTTCATTGTGGACAGATTTTCCTTGTTAAGTTGAGATATTAGCATCTTACTAGATCTTGATTACTATTCATGTTATGGTGTCTTTGGATTTATCTTAGCTCAGCAGGACAAAGTCATGAAGGGTTCATCCTTACACTAGTTTGATGCCAGCTGCCTACATTTACCAATATTTTTTAATATGGTTTAAGTTCATGCATATCTGATTTTATGGGTTTCAGTAGGCGTCATCAAGTCATGGGCTGTGGCTTCAATCCCCGGATTTTTTGTTTGCATGTGCTGTGCTGCTATGAAGCATTGTTTAGCAAACAATGTTTTGGGAATTTCTTCCCGTATCCAGGTTTGTTTTTATTAGTTATATTGTGTATTTCTAAGAATTATGAGCACTTTCTGGGTGGTGTTCACTTCAGTTATGGTCAGGGTAGCTAAATTTTTTATGCTCCAATAAATGCCATAGATCTTTTTAGTGAACTTTTGGTGATAATATTGTTAGTGGGTTCGTTTTTAGTTTAATAGTTCAACTAATCTGGTATGCATTGTTATGCACAGCACGTGTTCCCACCCGCAGATGCTGCCTCCATGCTTTTCGTTGCCGACACTGCAATATCTGGTTAGTAATAGAATAGAAGTTCTTTTGTTTGTGCCAAATTACATTTGCGGTCTGTTCTTCTGAAACTTGCAATGGTTATAGATATGTGGTTAGTCATAGAATAAAAGTAACATCATCTTCACTATGACTTGTGCGTGTCAACTTCATTTGGCATAATCACCTGTATTTATAGTGAGACCTCAGTAAATTTTTTGCATCATTGCAGCTCTTTCTCTTGTTGGTCTACGAGGACGAAATAGCATTTATCAGCATTTTCTTATTCTTGTTGATCTAAGAGAACATTCTATCTTTTGTTTATTCTTTAGTATTAGTACTAGGGAAAAGTGCAGATTTGAAACTAGAACGTTTCCAATTCTTGTTCAGATGCGCCCTGCTTGCTTGGCTGTTTTACTTGCTCGGTTGCTCTATATGGGATCCATGCCACTCTTTTGCTGTTGCCGGTATGATTAAAAAAAATTGTGGCCCAAGGGGCCGAAACAGTATGCACAAAGAAAAACAAATTATTTTGAAGTTTGAACTTCCTCTTGGATTAACTATTGTATTAAATTCTGCATATTGGAGCAGTTGCTGCATCACTCAGCACATAATATGGATTTCTGTTTTTTGGTTCCAGGTATATGTGTTGCACTTGCCCTCTGTATCGCTGTGCCAAGAGCTAGCAAGAACCGTTTCTTTAATTACGCATTTTTGCGATACACTGTAATTATCATCATACTGAACTGGTTTCAATCCACACAGGTGAGTTATGCTACTTGAGTTGCACCTGATATTATCTTGAAAATAAAATGCCTTGTTCTATATGCTCATCTCATCTCTTTTTTTTTCAGGGTGGGGGGCAGCCTGCTGTACAATACGTTGCTTGTGGCGTGATTAGTTTTGTTGCTGTTCACTGTTTGTGGAATGTAGAAGTAAAACAGGTAAGGTCGGTCCATATTGTTGTTTGTACTATAGATATGCCTATTGCCAGTCCCAATTGTGTGGTGGTTGATGACATTCTGTAGTGACATATCCTATTTGCTAATATCTCTTTTTTTCCTTGCTTGAGGGTGACAACAATCAGCCGATGAGTGAAGTGTGGGATTGGAACACTGCCAATGAGGATGGTGATGGAGGTGAGGATGGTGACGGAGGTGAGGATGGTGACAGAGGTGAGGATGGTGACGGAGGTGAGGATGGTGATAGAGGTGAGGATGATGCTTCATTTGCCTTGGAGCATTCCGATGATGAAGATTTGACGGAGGTGTCAATTTTACGTACGGTGCAAGTGTTGGCCATTCGTGCAAACTTCTGTATCAGCCGTATGGACGCCCATGACTGGTACCAAAGTTTTGTCATCTATACGACGCTCGAGGGGGAAGTACAAGAGGTATACACTAGCTACCGTATGTTATATCTACTACATGCTTTATGCCTCTTTACATGCATTATATATTGTAATAAATTAAAATCCTTCACATTCATGCTTTCATGTGTAGGAAGGAATGGATTTGGTACTCATTGGACCATGTGGGATACTACAGGCTTACGGTGCCTTTTGCTTGGAGGTTTTCACAGAAGACCTGGTTTTCACAGAAGACGATGAGGGGTCTTCTACTGATGATGAGGGGTCTTGGGGCGGTCATTTCCGCCGAGGCTGGGATGTTACTGATCCTGATGAAGTTGAGGAATTCACACAAACCATCTATGGAGGCCTTGGCCGCAAGTTGGAGATCACATACTTGGTGATTCCGGAAGCAGTTGAGACCTATGTTGAGGTCAGGTTGAACCTCAAAGACTTCGGTTCGAGAAGCCGCTCTGTGTATGGTAGCGTCAAGGCAATTGCCATTGACTATGGGAGCAAAAACGTCAATCTCTTCAGTTTTGAACGAGGCAGTAGCTTGTCCCTGCCCTGTGGTTCGACGTGCATTCTTCCACTGGGACAACCCGCGATTGCATTGCCTAAAGGTAGCAAGTACAAACTCCACATAGAGGTGGACCTAAGAGTAATCACGACCTGTGACAGCCAAGAAGAGGACAAGAATTTGAAATTCTGTCTAGACTGCAGCCGTAGAATTAGGAGTAAAGAACGTCTAGAGTTACCCCGTAGAATTAGGACTCAAAAAAGAGAATTCGATGGTGATCAAGTTGAAGTGAAGGTCATCTGGGTCCTAGAAAAATTCTTCTAGATCCTAGAAAAATTTGTCTAAGAAAGGAGCTAGAAGCGAAATAAGTGAAGGAAGGCATGTGCCACATCTGAAACTTTGTCTATGTTTGCCAGATCATATTATCTAGGCCAGTGATAATATGATCTGGCGCACTGGCCGAAAATTTGGGCCGGTCGCATCCTGTGCGTCCGCTTCGCTTACTGCCAACCGTCAGATCGAAAGCTCTTTGCCCCCCGCATCTCGCATCTGAACACACATGGGAGAAAAAAAAGAAAAAAAGGAGAGGATGCAGCCCAGATCGCCGAAATCCATTGCCTCGCTGTCCCCGCCCGCGCAGCCGCCGGAGTCCCGCGTCTCCGGCGGCCCCTCCACGGCCACCGCCATCATCGTCGACTGCAGCTCCCCGCTTCTCTTCGCAACTTGAAGTAGAAGTCGTTGTGCGCCCTCCTCATCTCGTCGTCGTTCCAACACCGCGTCTTGCCAGATGCAACTCTGAACAAAAGTCGGTCCATCAAATTACGCAGCCCATCATAGCACGGCGACGCCATCTTCGGCTCGCCACCGTCGTTGACCTGCACCACCTAATTTCAGCGAAAACCAAAACTCAGCTCAAAAATATAGTTGAAACAAAATCAAAAAACGGTTCCAGCAAAAAGTAACTTAGGTTCCAGCAAAACAACCCCAGTGCTAGAAAATTAGGTAAACTAATTGAAGCAAAAATTTACCACTGTTCCAGCAAAATCAAACTCTGGTTCAGCAAAACCAAAACTGAGCAAGTAGGAATCATGGTTCTTGCAAAACCAAAACTGAGCAAGTAGGAAATTTAGATAAAAACATGTTTGAAACAAAAATTTACCTGTTTCCAGTAAAAAAAAAACACCTCCGGTTCCAGCAAAAATAATCGCATCTCAACGTCCAACCTTGTAGCTCCACCAAAAGCCGGTTGCAACTCCGTTGTCGAGGGGCGCAGCTGATTGCAGCCGCCCTCGCCGCTGTATGCAGCTCTTATGCTCCGCGTTGCAGTCGCCGCCGCCCGGCGTCGATGGATGCAGCTCGACCAAATAGATGGTTGCAGCTCCGCCAATCGCCGATTGAAGCTCTGTGGCCCCTAATTTGTTGCTAGGTGTGGCGCCTCGAGCTGGAAATAAAGCATGGCAGCTCGGCCATGGCCATGGCGTTGGATGCTTTGAGGTGAATGCATTTTTGGGAGGAGGGAGAAGGCACTGGAAGCGGTGGGGATAAGGAAAGAGGATAAAGTAGCGAAGCGATGTGGCTCGGCTCGGCTCGATAGGTCAAGGACGCGTGGCCCGCGTGGACCCGCCTGCTCGCGTAGCTAGCGAGGTGACCGGCTCAAACTTTGGGCCGACGCCCCGGCTCTAAACACTTTCCTATTATCTATTTCCTTGTGTTTGATCTATTCATGCCATTTTATTTGAATTGTACTTGGGTGAGTGGGAAACCAAGAATACTCCCTCCGTCACAGTTTAGAAGACACAGTTAAATTTGTGTGCGTTTCCACAATAAACAAGGTTTAGGGTGCATTGCATTTATTTCTAGTAGCTAAGTAGTACTCCGATATAGTATTCCTATATGCATGCGTAGTGTGAATGCTATTTTTTAGCCCATCTCACGGCCAATAGATAACCACCTAGGTCCCAGAGAATTTTTAAGTGCGCCTTCTAAACTACGACAGATGGAGTAGTAAAAGAGTCTTTCGTATTCGTTAGTGAACATTTATATTCGGCAATGTACTGTGATTAGTAATTCTAATAAGCCATTGCAATTAATTTTAGAGAAGCACGAAGCGTCCAAATAAACCAGACCAGTAGGCAGGGATCCAAGGGAACCGAATACCTCAGATTTAGCATCATCTTCCCGCTGTTATAAAACTAAAATAATTGTGAAACTGCATGCTACCATTACTCAGCAATCAAGAGTCCTTAATTAATGGCTATATATTTTCCTCTATTTTTGGTCAAACTTGACAAATTTTGACTTTAACAAAATCCTAAACGCGAAGTAAATAAAAATGGAGTGAGTAGCAATCAGGCAACGTTGTTAGAAATGGTGTTGGGTAAGTGCACCTAAAGCTCATAGTTGGACAGCATACCACTGCATTTTGATTTGATTTGGGAGCTAATTTAGCGACTATCCATATAGTCACTCAGATTTCGTTTTCGCTAATCTGGTCTAAACTCTGATTTCCTTAGCTTTGTGATCAGCTTTCCTTCGCTGGATAGCACTTCAACCTTTACATACTTTTTTTTATCATAATATCCCCGGACCAATTTTCAAAATCAGTTCCTGGCCCACTATTTAGGTTTGGTGTAACAGTTATCTTTCAATATTTAACCATTGGATCCGAGCCAATGAACGGCTGTCAATGTTTCCAAGCGTTGTAAAATTCCTCCTTATTGTATTAAGAAGAAAAGGAACTATATTCATAGACTGTTGGATGACAATGGTGAATGGAAAGAGGACAATGAGTCAATGAAGAATCTGATAGGTAGCTATTTTCAACACTTGTTCACTTCAGAAGTTGCAGATCCGAATTGGAATGTTATTAACAGGGTGAAACCGAAAGTTACTCTCTACATGAATGAGGCTTTAATGGCCCCATATACCGAAGATGAGGTAAAGAGAGCCTTATTCAGCACTCCCTCCATTTCGAATTAGTCTACATCCTGACTACATCATTTGCTCCAAATTAGTCTACATTCTACCAAGAAATCGCAACAGTGCTTCCATCAGCGGCCATCGGTGCTACCGTCCGTGTTCGGCGGTGCTAACTGCTGGAGTCAGCATGCTACCAGCGGTGCTACTTGCCGGAGTCAGCATGTTATCGATGATGCTGCCGGCGTTGGTCGGCGAGGTCCCGTCGCACCTTTGTAGGTCGGGATGATGGTGCAGCAGGCGGCGGTGCAGGTAGCGCGGACGGCGGTGCTCGGAGTTGGCTCGTTGCCGGCCATGCAAGAGAAAGATCGGGGCAAGTACTGAAATTATTGGTAACAGATAAGATAATTCATAACAGGTAACAAGTAACAAAAGTAAACAAGGTGCAGTAAGATTGCCCAATCCTTGTTGTAGCAAAGGACAAGCCTGCACGAGCTCTTATGTAAAGTAAAGCGCTCCCGAGGACACATGAGAATTGTTGTCAAGTTAGTTTTCATCATACTCATATGATTCACGTTCGTTACTTTGATAATTTGATATGTGGGTGGACCGGAGCTTGGTGCTGCCCTTCCTTGGACAAGCCTCCCACTTATGATTAACCACTCTCGCAAGCATCTGCAACTACGAAGGAATAATTAAGATAAATCTAACCATAGCATGAAACATATGGATCCAAATCAGCCCCTTACGAAGCAACACATAAACTAGTGTTTAATCTTCTGTCACTCTAACAACCCATCATCTACTTATTACCTTCCATTGCCTTTCCCTAGCCCCAAATCATGGTGAAGTGTCATGTAGTCGACTTCACATAACACCACTAGAGGAGAGACAACATACATCTCATCAAAATATCGAACGAATACCAAATTCACATGATTACTTATAACAAGATGATGTGTGCTAGAACTACGTCGGTATTTCCCCAAAGAGGAAGGGGTGATGTAGTATAGCGACGGTAGGTATTTCCCTCGGTGATGAGACCAAGGTTATCGAACCAGTAGGAGAACCTCCTAAAACCACGTAAACAACACCTGCACACAAATAACAAATACTCGCAATCCGACGTGTTAAGGGGGTTGTCAATCCCTTTCGGATACGACGCCTCAAGATAGGCAAAAACCAGAGGTAAAAAGTGGTAGATAGGATAAATAGATCGCGGAACAAATAAATTACAGCAAGGTATTTTCGTATTTTTGGTTTAATAGATCTGAAAATAAATGCAAGAGAAAATAGATCGCAAAGGCAAATATGATGAAAAGAGACCCGGGGGGGTAGGTTTCACTAGTGGCTTCTCTCGAGAAAAATAGCAAACGGTGGGAAAACAATTACTGTTGGGCAATTGATAGAACTTCAAATAATCATGACGATATCCAGGCAATGATCATTATATAGGCATCACGTCCAAGATTAGTAGACCGACTCCTGCCTGCATCTACTACTATTACTCCACACATCGACCGTTATCCAGCATGCATCTAGTGTATTAAGTTCATGAGAAAAAGGAGTAATGCAATAAGAACGATGACATGATGTAGATGAGATCTGTTTATCTATTGTGGCAGATATAGATCTCATCTTGTTATCCTTAGTAGCAATGATACATACGTGTCGGTTCCCCTTCTGTCACTAGGATCAAGCACCGTAAGATCGAACCCACTACAAAGCACCTCTTCCCATTGCAAGATAAATAGATCAAGTTGGCCAAACAAAACCCAAATATCGAAGAAGAAATACAAGGCTATAAGAAATCACACATATAAGAGATCAAAGAAGACTCAAATAACTTTTATGGATAAAAACATAGATCTGATCATAAACTCAAAGTTCATCGGATCCCAACAAACACACCGCCAAAACACTTACATCATATGGATCTCCAAGAGACCATTGTATTGATAATCAAGAGAGAGAGAGGAAGCCATCTAGCTACTAACTACGGACCCGTAGGTCTACAAAGAACTACTCACGCATCATAGGAGATGCACCAATGGAAGTGGTGAACCCCTCCATGATGGTGTCTAGATTGGATCTGGTGGTTCTGGACTCTGCGGCGGTTGGATCAATATTTCGTCGACTGCCCTAGGGTTTCTAAAATATTCGGGTATTTATAGAGCAAAGAGGCGGTTCGGGGGGGGGGGGGCACCCGAGGTGGGCACAACCCCCCAGGGTGCGCCTGGGCCTCCTGACGCGCCCTGGTGGGTGCTGCTCACCTCGAGCAGCCCCTTAGGTGCTTCCTTGGCCCATTGGCTTTCTTCTGGACCAAAGAAATCCTCCAGGAGTTGCATTGCATTTGGACTCCGTTTGATATTGATTTCATGCGATGTAAAAACACATGCAGAAAACAA